ATTTTAAACCAAGCCGTATCTCATTCATGTTCTGTTCAAACGACTGCCTCTTGGTCTATGTACAAGTTCCTCATGAACTCAATGAAGTGTTTTGGAATTCCCATTCTTTGCAATGTTATCCATAATTTGTTAAAATCCAAATGCCTTTGCATTGTCAATAAAACACAATATCTTTCTGATATTCTCTGCTTTCAGCCAAGATGCATCTGAAATCAGCAATGATATTCCTCATACCATGCTCTCTTTTGAATCTGGTTTGAACTTTTGACAGTTCCCTGTCTATGTACTGCTACATCCACTTTTTAATTAGTTTCAGCAAAATTTTACTTGCATGTGATATTAATAATAATTGATGATAATTTCTGCCTTCTGTTGGATCATCTATCTTTGTGATGAGCACAAATATGTATCTCTTCCAGGCTGCTGGCCAGGTACTGGTCTTCCAAATTTCTTAGCATAGACAAGTGAATGTTTACAGTGTTACATTCATTTGTTATTACATCTCAGTAGGTATTATATCAATTCCTGGAGTCTTGTTTTTTGTCAATGTCTTCAGTGAAGCTTGGAGTTCTTCCTTCAATGCCATTGGTTCTTGATCATATGCTACTTCTTGTCTTAGTCTGGAAGCTCCTATGCAACCTGTCTGCTATGACTGACCCTCCTGGCATCTGAAACACCAGTGGCATAGCTTCCAGCATCATAGCAACACGCAAGCCACCCAGTATGACAAACAGATGAGTTGTGGAATTATGTGGATTAATTGATATGAATGTAATATTAGTATGATTTAAATTAAGATTTTAATTAACTATATAAAATTTGGGAGCTCTGGTAGCATAGTGACTAAGGCACTTGACTGCTAGCCAGAAGGCTGGTGGTTCAAACCCACCAGCCACTCCTTAGAAGGAAGATTGGGCAATCTACTTCCGTAGTGATACTGCCTTGGAAACCCAAGAAGGGGTTGCTGTGAGTCAGGTCCAACTGGATGGCACATAACAACAACAACATATAAAATTTAATTATGTATACATATAAATATACTATACATCATATTGTGTATATATTAGCATACTCTCATTGTAATGAATCCAAACTTTAAACCAAAGCAAAGGTTCCCCTGAGCAAATACAGCTTCACTTCCTCCCTCAGATCCCTTATTCTACTTTTGCACATCATGCAACACTACATTGAATACCTGACTTGTGAGATGTGATAAAAATGTAGCTTTATTTTTGTCTTCTACCAGGGAGCTCTGGTAGCATAGTGGCTAAGGCACTTGACTGCTAACCAGAAGGCTGGCGGTTCAAATCCACCAGCCACTCCTCAGAAGGAAGGTTGGGCAATCCTACTTCCGTAGTGATACTGCCTCGGAAACCCAAGGAGGGGTCGCTATGAGTCGGGGCCGACTCGACGGCAAATAACAACAACAACAACAACCATCTCTTTGGAGTCCTGGGTGATGCGAACAGTTAAACTCTCAACCACTAGCCAAAAGGTTGGCAGTTTGAACACACCCAGAGGTGCCTTGAAAGAAAGTCCTGATGTTGCCTTGAAGAACTTCACTGCCTACTTTCTGTACCACTCCCGTGAGGAACATGAACATGCAGAGATGCCGCTGAGGGTGCAGAACCAGCGCAGAGGCCAAATCTATCTCCAAGACATCAGGAAGCCTGGCCTGGACGACTGGGGCAGCAGAGTCAACGCCATGGAGTACGCCTTCCGCCTGGAGCATCAGCCAGAGCCTACTGGACCTGTACTGGCGGGCTCACAACAGGGACGACATGCAGCTGTGTGACTTCCTGGAGAACCACTTTCTGCACAAGCAGGTGAGGACCATCAAGGAGCTAGGCAATCACGTGAGCAACCTGCACAAACTGGAGGCCCAAGATGCCCACCTGGCTGAGTACCTCTCCCATAAGGTCAGCCTGGGCAACAGCAACAACTGAGCCTCAGCCATGCAAGAGCGGCCCCTGGTGACTTCCGTGGTCTCTGATGCTGAGCAATCATGCCACAGTTACAAGTTCACTTCTCTGTCTTTTCTCTTCCAAGTCTCCTATTTCTTCTAATAAAGCAATTTGGTACCAGAGTCAAGCAAAAGAAAGAAAGTCCTGGCCATCTGCTTCCAAATGTAAAAATAATAATAATAAAACAAACTCATTGCTATTGAGTCAATTTGACTCATAGCAACCCCTCCTCGGGTTCCTGAGGTGGTATCTTTACTAAAGTAGATTGCTCAATCTTCCTTCTGAGGAGTGGCTGGTGGGTTTGAACCACCAGCCTTCAGGTTAGCAGTCAGGTGCCTTGGGCACTACACCACCAGAGCTCCCTCCAAAATGTTACAGCCTTGCTAATCTTATGAAGCAACTCTACTTGGCACACAAAGGTCACCGTGAGTCAGAACTGACTAGACAACAATTGATTTGGTGTTTTTTTGTTATTTTTTTAATACCATTTCTTTAAAACTTACTCATGTGGGGCAATCTCATCATGATCCTGGAGGGAATTCTGGCAGACCCATGACTTTAAAGCTTGCTCTTAAAAACGATGAAAACTAGTTTAAGTTAAAAGATAGTCCTTAATTTGGAAATGTAAATATCCATTCAAACATGTGAATCCAAACTCCAAATCTGATTGACACTCAGATCTTCTCTGGCCCAGCTTGTTGCCCGTGTGCTCCTCATCCTCTGCTTAGCCTGCCGGCCGGTTTCTAGCCTTTCCAGGCATCTGCTTTAAGAGGGAGATAGGAGAAGAGAGAGAAATGAAAACATAGGAATGGTCTGGAACTGTGCACCACTGGAGCCATTTTCTTGCCTGGTAGATATTGGAAGGTATTTCATGTGGGCCACTCTATGGCATCTTCAGAGGTCACCTGCTGTGACCCCTGACTTCGACTGCCATGAGGTGCTGCTCCCAATCAATGCTCAGTTTCTCTGGCCATTGACTCTCGATGTGGGGTCTTTCTCACTCTGAGGCAGAAGACTCCTCAAGCAGAACTCAGAACGAATCCAGAATTTCTCTTTTACGTGACCTTTCTCTGGTGTAGGGGAATTACTCCCATATTTTTAATGCAGCAAAAGTCTGAAATGCAGCAAGATCCTAGCATGGCCACCTCCACTCTGCTGCCACAGTAACTCTAGCATTTCAAGCATGAGTCAGGCACCGGTCCTTTGAGTCTCTCAACAGTAGAGTCCACATTTCAAGCTCTCAGAGTGGTCCCAGCTTGAGTGAATTAGTTACTGTGGAGTCGATTTGGGCTCATGGCAACCCCACGTGTGTCAGAGTCTAACACTCCATACGCTTCTCCATGGCTGACTTTTGGAAGTAGGTCATGAGGCCTTTCTTCTGAGGTGCCTCTGGAAGGACTTGAACTTCCAACCTTTTAGTCAGCAGCCAGGCTCATCAACACTTTACAACACTCAGGGTCTCCTAGCTTGACTGACCCATTAACCCACTGCCACTGAGTCAATTCCAACTCATAATGATCCTTACTGGACAGAGTAGAACTGCCTCATGGGGTTTCCAAGGCTATAAATCCTTATGGAAGCAGACTGCATTATCTTTCTCCTACGGAGACTGGTGGGTTCAAATTCCCAACCTTTTGGTTAGTAGCCAAAGGTTTTAACCACTGCACCACCAGAGCTCCTTAGCGTGAGTAAAGGAGGTAATAATTGCCTCAAGTGACTCACGAGCACAACATATTTCTCAAAAAAAAAAAAAAAAAAAATCTTGTCAATTCTTTCCCTTTTCCTCCTTAATCCTTTTTAATATCATCTGATTGAGGAGCCTAAGAGTTGGCCAGGGCACTATTTGCAACCATTTCCTATATATATTTTGCAAAAGTGAATCTGGCTTTCAAATTTACTATCTATTATAACCTGATGTTTCAATTTTGAAATATCAATTTTAACATTTCGCTACATAACTTTCTTTTGTATGCTTCATTTTTTATGTAAATGTAACTATCATATACTTATTGATTTACATTGTCAGTTTTCTTCATTTAACTGGGACTCTTGGGGACTCTTATCAGTAAATAAGTTTCATTTATTTATGACCCTCTTGATATTACACAGTGGAAGAAAGATGAGGCAGTCTGTCTCCATAAAGATTTACAGCCTTGGAAATCCAATGGGGGTGGCTATGAGCCAGAATCCACTCAGCAGTGAGTTTGGTTTTGTTTTTTGATATTAGACAAGGTCCCTTGGCATTGCAAACGGTTTGTGCTCAACTACTAACCTGAACGTTGGTGGTTTGAACCCACTCAGCAGTACTGAGGAAGAAAGGTCTAGCTACCTGCTTCCATTATAAGGAGCTCTGGTGGTATAGTGGTTAAGGCATTTAACTACTAACTGGAAGGTTAGCAGTTCAAGCCCATGAGCCACTCCTTGGAGGGAAGAGTGGGCAATCTACTTCTGTAAAGATTAGGTTGCTATAAGGTGACTTGAGAGCAGTGACTTTTTGGTTTGTTTTGTCTGCTTCCATTAAGATTACATCCAAGATTTGTGCCCAAAGCACAATTTAAAAAGAGAGAGAGAGAGATTACATCCAAGAAAACTGTGTAGACCACCAGTTCTACTGTCTAAGACTTGGGGTCACTACAAATCCTAACCACCTGCAGGGTAATGGATTTGTTGTGGGCTTCGTTTGCTTGTTTTAAAACATGTATTAGACACAGTCAAGTGGCCCTGACTCCTTACTCTGGCAGCAGCCAAAGACAAACTCTTCCAGCAAGCCACATTTGACTCCTGCATTTGTTTACTTTTGTGGACAGAGAGGATTTTTTGTTTTGTTTTTAATTAGATTTGAATGCTTTTTGCTTACCAGCAGACCCATTGCCCCATTTCACCACAATTTGAAAAAGAGAGAGGGAGAGGGAGCGGGAGCGGGAAAGAGGGAGAGAAACCACGAGATCATCTCCACGTTTTTGCGGCTTTTTGCACCTCCCAACGTTAGAGGGCGATAAAACCTCAGATAGCTTATTGGCGTTCCATGAAGTCTACGTCTTTACGTAGACGTTCGGGGCGGAGCCGTGCTGTGCGCGGTGACTGGCGGCGGCACTGGCGTCTGCCGGAGGCGTAGTAGTGCGGGTCGCGGGCTTGGAGAACTTCCGAGGCGGTAGTGGCGCCGGCGACGACGAGGACAGCAGGAGCAGATCCTGGACTTGTCGCTCACCATGCCGACGGTGGAGGAGCTTTACCGCAACTATGGCATCTTGGCTGATGCTACGGAGCAAGTGGGCCAGGTGAGTCCCCGAGCGGCCTGCAGGGCCCGGCGTTTCGTCGCCTCTAAACAGCGCTCCGCGCGGTGCTCCCTGGGCTGGGCCGGGCCGGGGCTACAGCTTCTCCGTCCCGCGGCCTCCTAGCCGTCCTGGGCTGATTGGGGAGCTCGTCTTTGGGAGGGTAAAGCCCGGTTTCACCTGGGAGAGCGTGGCCCACGGGGTTCCAGGCTTCTCTGCCTCCCCCGGCATCAGCCTTTTCTCACCATGGCGTTTTCTCGGCAGCTTCAGGGCCCCGTTAATTCCTGAGCTTTGGCCTCTAGGTTTCGCTTGAGTCTTTCGCTCTCTTTTTGGTGGTGCGCAGTCCCACGAGGACTGTATTGAGAGTTTTCTACAAGAGGTTTAAAACCTCCGAGGCAAAAATGTGTTGTTAGATTTTGGTAAGCGTTCTTAGGAGTAAGTGTTTTGTTTGTGACAAAACAAAAAGAAGTGTTTTTACTTAGATTTTATGGAGGGTCCACGACTTCATTAATTGAGCCTCTACTATGTACCAGACATCGTACAGAGCGCTGTAGGTCCAAGATAGAAAGATTCGTGCTCTCCCCTAACGTACCCTTAGCGAGGGTGACTAGTCATACACAAATAAGCAGCGTGTTTGTTTTTCCAGTGAGAAGTGTTGTGAAGAATGTAAAATAGAAGGTGGACTAGAACGGGGTGGGGGTGATGTTACAGCTTTCATAGAGTTACCTGCAAAGACCCTCAACCGTGGTTGTCCCAGACACGGTCTTAGCAATGCTGAATTATACCTAAAAACCCATCACTTGTGATTATCAGGTACTGGAGTACATTGACCAGTGAGGAGTCCGTCAGTGGTTAGATACCTGTGTCTGTGTGTTCTTGGGAAAAGAACCACGCTCTCCCTGAGCTAAACTTAATCATTATTTAAGAAATCTTAGGCCATGTCTTTTCAGTGCTTGGAACTGTGTGATTTTTCAGCTTGCTTTGGAGTAGGCAGTGGAAGATCTTAGAGTCAAGTTAACAACATGAGCAAAGTTGCAGCAGTTCTTTTCCCATGTGTGAATTTCTAGACGTGTAATTCATGTTGCCCCTTTCTAAGCTGTAAACCAGGAGCTCTGGTAGCATAGTGCCTAAGGCACTTGACTGCTCACCAGAAGGCTGGCGGTTCAAACCCACCAGCCACTCCTCGGAAGGAAGGTTGGGCAATCCTACTTCCGTAGCGATACTGCTTTGGAAACCCAAGGAAGGGTCGCTATGAGTCGGGGCCGACTCGATGGCAAAACAACAACAACAACAAGCTGTAAACCAAGATGCCCAGGTGATTCGTACATATACGAATTCAGTGTATCTTGGGTGGAAATGCAAGTTCTTAGCAAGGGGTCTAACTGTAATGAAGCCCCAGTGTAACACCTACTGCCCGTTAAGGCCAGAGAGGACCTGTGATGGTGCAGTGGTTAAAGCACTTGGCTACTACCTTAAAGATCTGGGGTTTGGATCCACCAGCTGCTCCCCAGGACAAAGATGTGGCAGTCTGCCTCCGTAAAGATTTACAACCTTGGAAATTCTATGGGGGCACTTCTGCTCTGTCCTTTAGGCTTACTGTGTGTCAGAATCAACTCGTCAGCAACTGGTTTAAGGCAAGACAGGAAAACTATGGTCAGTCATATTTTGTTGTTGTTTCTACAACTCAGGTAGTACAGTGGTTAAAGCATTTGATGGCAGTGGCGGATGAATAATTGAGAGCTGTTCGTATTGCTTTCTTTCATTATCTTTAATTATGGAAACCAGTATTAAAGAATTTAGTGTGATTCCCAATAGATGATTTGCAATCGATGCCTTCATGACACTGAAGCTGCCCAGGACTACTTAAGACAGATGTCTCAGCAGAGTGAAGTTTAGTGATATGCTCCAAAATCAAACCCACTGCTATAAAGTTGACTCCAACTCTTAGCAACCCCCGTTGGGTGTCCAAGGGAGTAAATCTTTATGGAAGTAGATTGCCCTGTCTTCCTTCGTGGAGTGGCTGGTGATTTTGAACCACTAATCTTCTGGTTAGCAGTCAAATGTTTTATCCACTGCATCACCAAAGCTCCTTAGTGATTTGCTCAGGCACAGTGAATTCTTGGAGAACTGCCGTTGGACTAAACCGTAATGTCTCTCTCTATATATATTCTGCTTTATTATGTGAAACTTCCTCCCTTTTAGAGAAAATGAGTTTTAGGGTGCGTCTCTGAATCTTATCCAACAAAGGCAAGAACCAATTTAATGGAGTGGACACCGTTTCACGTTTTTTTAAGGAGAGGAACAATTAACGATGCTGAATTACACGTAAAAACCCATCACTTCTTGTGATTATCAGGTACTGGAGTACGTTGACCAGTGAGGAGTCCATAATATTCTTGGTATAGCAAAGCCTGATTTTGTTATCAACTTAGGAGATTTACAATCAAGCTTTAAGTTTCCTGGTCATGTGCCTGTCTGGACACCTATGAGACCCTATTTCAATTACTTGGCCTAGAACTTCCTGGTAATTTTTTTTTTTAATTATTTTTCAGCCTCAGAAAGGTGAGTACTACAGTTGCAAGCTTTGCAGCCACTGCAGAACACCTTCTCCCTATTGTTGACATATCCTTATGAGGGTCATGCCTTCTAAATACATGAAGATAGAAATAAGTCTTCCAAGATTTTATCAGATTTGCCACAGCAGATTGAATCCTTCTTTTTGAGCCCCTTTTTGGCACTGTTTATATTCATTGATAGTGCTTCTGGTTTGTATTTCATTTCATTTGAGGGCTTTTCTTACTCCCTTACTAAATTTCAAAGTCTTGAGGATAGTTTAAGTCTTTTTTTATTTCTGTCTCTGAACTGTATCTTGCCCTTTAATAGACAGTTGTTTTTCAAAATTAAAGAAACATACAAAGAAAGAACCAAAAACCAAACTCACCAACATCAAGTTGATTCCTACTCATAGCGGCTCCCACTGGGTTTCCAAGGCTGTAAATCTTTATGGAAGCAAACTGCCCCATATTTATTCTGTGGAGTGGCTGGTAGGTACGAACCACTGACCTTTTGGTTAGCAGCCAACTGCCACTACACTGTACAAAACCACTACACCGCCAGAGCTCCCAAAGAGGGAACAGACATACATATTTAAAAAATCATTAATGAGGATAATCCCTGATAGACAATGAAGGGAGCTTTTACACATACATGGGTTTGTTTGGTTTTTTTCCTTAAAAAAAAAAAAAAGTATTTTTAACAAGTAAGTTGCAGGTAATAAATTCTGAATGAAGCATTATTTAATACTTTCCAAACCCCTCTATTATCTTTCCACTTGTAGCTCCCACGTTCCACTTCTCTTTCAGCTTCCCTTTCCTCTACTCTGCCTCTGCTACACCTTCGGTCTTCCTCCTCTGTAGTGTGTGCTTTTAGGTCTCCAACCCCCTCTTGCCAGACTGCTCAAGGTTCCTGAATAGCCAAACTAGATAGAGCAAGCTATGGCCTGTCATTATTTTAAATTTTGTTTCATAGTTTTGTGAATTTACTTGATCTCTGAATGTAGATGGTTAATTTTATATTATGTAGTCAAAAATATTTTTGTTTTTTAAAAACCTCCAACATTTGTTTAGGGACTGTGGCAGTTAGGCTGATGTATGGTTAGGCCTTTGTAATACCTAAACTCTGATTTCTCCTGTTTTCTTTATTATATTTCGTACAGTGGCTCTTCAGAGTGGAAAAGTGTGTGCTTTAACCAATATATGTTTCATGAAATAACTGCTTTTGGTGGCCTTTTTGTATGACCAACCAAGTTCATAATTCTTCAGAAGTATGTGAAAAAATTAAAAATCTGCTTTAGTAGCTAATACTAATAAGATTTATTAATTGAGTCGGAGGAATAAAGTAATAATATACCTTAACTAGGATCTCTTTTAGCACATTGGTTAAAGCATTGGGCTGCTAACCAAAAGGTCAGTGGTTTAAACCCACCAGCTGCTCCACAGGGGGAAAATGAGGCAGTCAGCTTCCATAAGGATTTACAGCCTTGAAAACTGTGGATGGAGCATTTCTTCTCTGCCCTACAGTGTCACTCTGAGTTAGAATCAACTCGATGGCAGTGAATTGGGTTTGGTTTTGGCTATACCTTAACTTATACATTGGTCTGTATTGTCTCCCTTAATCCATTCCCTCTTATGTCATAATTGAGAAATATGTTTATTGAAACTACATCCTTCTCTACAAAAATGCTTAGAGGCTGCATTCTAGATCCAGATATGGCTTTACCTCACCACTTATGCATACATATTTGTTGTATTTTGACAATCACTACCAGGAATTTTTGCTTTTAAAATATATCTGATGGATATGGATCAAATTGGAACTGACCTTTCACAATGAGATACCATGTTACTCATTAGAATGGCAATGATCAAAAAATGGAAAACAGTAGGTATTGGCAGGATTGTAGCAAATAGAAAGAAACCCTCAACCATTGCAGTGGGAGTGTGAAATGGTATCGTTTGGTGGTACCTCAGAAAATTGAATATAGAACTACTATATGACCCAGCTGTTCCACTCTTAGGAGTATGCCTGAGAGACTTGAACAACATGAACACACATACACAGCAATATTCGTTGCAGCACTCTTCGTGATAGCCAAAAGGTGGAGACATCCAAAATGTCCATCAGCAGATGAATGGTTAAACAAAATATGGTCTGGATGGCGTAGTGCCTAAGACATTTGACTACTAACCAGAAGGCTGGCGGTTCAAACCCACCAGCCACTCCTGGGAAGGAAAACTAGGCAATCTACTTCCATAGAGATACTGTCACAGAAACTCAAGGAGTGGTCATCATGAGTAGCAGTCAACTTGACGGCAGTGAGTTTGGTTTTGGTTTAGTATGATTACAGGTAAGAAAACCCTGTGAAGAAGTTCTAATCTATAGCATATGAGGTCACTAACAGTTGAAATTAACTCAGTGACAGTAGGTTTTTGGTTTATATAGATTGACAATATTTGATCTTTTAAAGTAATGTAGTAAATATGCAGATGATATTAAATCTGTACCTTTAAAAAGATTGTGACCATAGCCTTTTGATACATAAAATACTTTTTTGAATGTTGTGCTTTGTTGAGATCATACTGTACATAAATAATTTTGCATCCTGCTTTATTTGTTTCAACCTTATATACTATTACCATGTCCGTGGAAAGACTTACTATAAAACTAAAATTTTGGTAATTCCATAACCCGTTGGCTGTTTATGTCCAAAGTGGTCATTCCCTGTTGATGGCATTAAATGAGCTCACATATCTAAAGCACTTAAAACAGTGTCTTACACAGAGTACAAACACTGTGCTGTGTAAACATTTGGTATTATTATAATTTTTGAGGCTTTTCTCAGTTATTTGAGGTTTTATCCACATATCCAAACAGAGGGTGCATGTATAGTCTCCCTGTATTTGTTACTGTGATCTGCCAGTTCCATCACTGTCATTTAATCAAAGGACTGGTTTGAAGGCGAGGAGGCAGGTGTTGGGAACTAGTTGACTTTTCACATTATAAATATCTGAGGGAGAGAGCAGAGGTTTGTTTTGTTTTGTTTTTAATGAAACAAATGGGTTGTGAGTGTATTGTTTTAATAAGTTAAATAAGTGACGTGAGAATTTGTCTTAATCTAAAATTAGCTGATTATATGGAAAGAATTCTTACTGTTTTTATCTTACTATGAGACAAAATAAAGCTGTGCTTCCAAACCTTCTTGGAATTGTTAAATTTCAGGAATGTGTTCTCTCTGTTTTCTTCAAGGCACTAATAGGAAACATAAATTTTTATATATAAGTAAATAGAACAGTTCTTGAGAATTCTGTGATATTGATTACAGTTTTTTAAGCACTATATAGTCAGTCACAAAACTAGGGCCAGTAATTACTAGAATGAAAAAATATTAGTATATTAACAAATCTGTATGCTTTTTCCAAATTAGTCATCCTTCTCCCTTACCCAACTCATTATTTGGAGAGGAGGAATCAGAGAGCAGAGAAGTAGAGGTACAGTTTAAGCAGTAAAACTTCAAAATAAGCCGTATATTTTAACCTCTGTAAATTTTTTTATTAATGTAGACTCAGGTTGTTTACCAAAATTGTGTTTCTGTTCTGATTCATTCATTTTTTAGCATAAAGATTCCTATCAAGTTATACTGGATGGTGTGAAAGGTGGTACCAAGGAAAAGAGATTAGCAGCGCAATTTATTCCGAAATTCTTTAAGCATTTTCCAGAATTGGCTGATTCTGCTATCAATGCACAGTTAGACCTCTGTGAGGATGAAGACGTGTCAGTAAGTTTGTAATTGGAGCTTGTCAGCAAGCTTTTCGATGTTCCTCTTAAAATTCCCAGATATATTTCCTGTGTAGCTAGTATAATTAGAGTGCAGGGTAAAATACTGCAGTGTGGTCTGGCATAGCATGATAGTCAGGCTTATAATCTACATTTGAAACAATATATCTTTTGCTCCCTTTCAACTCTAAAAAATGATAATTTCTGTTACTCATCCTTAAGAACAAGAGTGTGGTTCACATCTTTTCTAGATTGATGCATGTACATATGAAATTGACCAAAGTTAGTTTTCAATCAGTTTGTGCTTGTTTCAGTGTTTAATTAAATATTTAGTTAAGAATGTTACATCATAAAATACAACTTCAACACACCTAAATATTTTGCAGGGCAGAAAAAATAATTGGTCAGTGTCATAATTGTATGTGATTGCTAAAATAATAGACTGGAGTTTATTCTTAGCATGTCTGTTAATACAGATTTCTAAGTATTTTCAACTATTAGCTACTGGTTTTTCAAATGAAATTCATGAATCACTAGCATTTCCTTTGAGAATTGTTAGACATAAACCCTGTACGTTTTTATGTAAAGCTAAATAAACCAAGATCAGTATTTGGAATTAAGTGCATAGAAGATATTCATAAATATTATATTAAGTTGTGAATACAAAAAATAATAAAATAGGTCACAATAGCCATTCTATGGATTATAGTATGATATGCCCAGAGGCAGTAAAACCCAAATAGTTGTATTTGATATTGTTTATAATCTGAAATCTGTGTACTCTAGTCCCATATTGTATTTAACCTCCCTTTCTACCACATTTTGTTTCAGTTACTCTGTGAAATTTGAATATTATTATGGTAGAACAAATGATTTTTAAAACATCACTACTAGAAATCTCATGTTTTATATTTTTGTGACTTACATGTGACCTTAATTATGATTTCCCTGTAGTTTCAGTGTTCTTAGAAACTAAGGTATGTTTTTTTTAAAATGAAGATAGTATTTGGTTAATTTTTGTTTGAATTCATGCCCAGATTCGACGTCAGGCAATTAAAGAGCTGCCTCAGTTTGCCACTGGAGAAAACCTTCCACGAGTGGCAGACATACTAACCCAGCTTTTGCAAACAGGTAAGATTTTATTATTATAGTACTCTTTTATCCAAATATAACTTCTCTCTGGAATATTAATTCTATGTTTTCAGGGTTTTTTGTTTTGTTTGGCAAACAGACCTGTGCCTTTGATAGAGATACAGAGATTAAAATTATTTTATCCATTCATAAATATTATATTAAGCCTGACTTAACTGCTCAGTTATGTAATTCCTAGTATTGTATTGTTTTGGTTTTAATTCTGTTAATAAAAACATAATGACTGGATTCTTTTAGAAGTGTTTGATGCATCATGATTCCCCTTATCCCCCCAATTTCCCATAGTTTCTCAGTCATGCAGTCTTAACATAAAAGTTTTCCAGATATGTCAGGTCCAGTTCTCTACCGTTAAAAGGAAGGTGTATTTTCTTGGTATTTTAGGGAATTGCTTAGTTATACATCTCCTCTCAACATAATCTTTTAAGATATTATGTTGAATCTTTGAAAATGAGGCAGATGATATTTCTAATTTATTTTGTATATTCTGATACTTTTTCCTTATCCAGATGACTCTGCAGAATTTAACTTAGTGAACAACGCTCTGTTAAGTATATTTAAGATGGATGCAAAAGGTAAGGCAAATTCTTTCTCTAAATTGCATTTGATGTCTTTAAAGAATTAGGAACTTGGGCAGGGGGAGAAAAAATAATAATAATTAGGAGCTTGGGATTGTTCATTAAGGATAAAATTAGGCCTAAAAGCCAGTTTTCAATAGCTTCCTCTTGTTATAAGATTTAAGTCTGGGGTTCACCCAGAGATCTGTTTCCTATAAATTCTAGGTGTTTGGGGGGAAAAATCTGCTTAGCTCTCAAGATATGACTCGAAAAACCAACAGAAGTAATTGTAAGAACTGATTAAGCTTTTCCATTAGAAAACTCCCTTAGCTACTTTAAAAAAATTCTTCCAAAGTGTTTGGATTTGATCAATAATGATAACAAAAAAAGGGAAAATGATGCTCAAGCTGACACTGTCCATAACAAAGCAGGTGATTACTGTGGTTGGGCTCTCTACATTTCCAGTTCATTTTTATCAGTATTGATGATATTCAGGTTTATCAACTGATTTAAGAAGAAATACTATAAATTGAGTTAAAGTGAAATACTTCTTTGCACTCTAGCATTCTTCTACTCTGTATACAATATAGAATTGACAGCTAAACTTAACTTTTTATGTGCAGGAACTTTAGGAGGCTTGTTCAGTCAAATACTTCAAGGAGAAGACATTGTGAGAGAACGAGCCATCAAATTCCTTTCTACAAAACTTAAGACTTTACCAGAAGAAGTCTTAACAAAGGAAGTGGAGGAGCTTATACTAACTGAATCCAAAAAGGTAAGCTTGAGTCATCATTTAGAACTTCTGTAAAGCAAAAAAGACATATTAGAAATTAGCAATGTTGATCAGTGCTGTGAGTGCCTTTTGTGTAAAATGATTTATCCCATTGGAACCACCATAGATCTTCCTTATGCTTTTCTTATATTATGTATGCTTAGCACTATGGCCACTTGTAACGATAAATCAGTGTTTTAATTTGAAAGAATGTAATACCATTTAAATTCCCTGCCATCAAGCCGGATCCGATTCATAGAAACCCCTCCTTGGGTTTCCAAGGCGGTATCACTATGGAAGTCCATTGCCCATCTGTCCTTCTGAGGAATGGCTGGTGGGTTTGAACCACCAGCCTTCTGGTTAGCAGTCAGTGCCTTAGGCACTACGCCACCAGAGTTTCTATTCTCCCATAGTACTCTGAATTATTTCAAAATTAAATATCACATTAAAATAACCTAGTTTTTTATTAAACTCCATGATACTATCCAGGAACACGAAGCCATGCTTGTCTGTGCTCCTTACATCTGCATAAACAGATGCTAAGGTCTCATGAGTTATGTAACAACTAACTTTTTACTCATAAAGTGTCAAAAGTTTGGCAGGTGATTTGCTTTTTTTTTTTTTTTTTTTCAAATATGTTCCAAAAGATTCAGATGTTTCTCTCTAATAGCACCACTCACTTGCTTTCTGGAAAGATTTCAGTGCAAGAAAGGAGCAGCTCTTCAGCTTATCTTATACATGCCCCAGCCAGTAATCTGGTGTCATTATTATGAGCTGCTTTGGTCAGTGAACAGAAAGGTTTAGACCCACTTGTTGTTGTTGTTTGTGCCCTCAAGTTGGCTCTGACTCATAGCAAATGAAACACTGCCCAGTCCTGTGCCAGCCACACAATCCTTGCTATACCTGAGCCCATCATTGCAGCCACTGTGTCAGTCCATTTCGTTGAGGGCCTTCTCCTGTTTTGTTAACCCTCCACTCTACCGAGCATGATGTCCTTCTGCAGGGAATGGTCCCTTCTGACAGCACGACCAAAGTAGATAAGACAAAGTCTGGCCATTCCTGCTTTCAAGGGGCACTCCAGCTGCACTTCTTCTAGGACAGATTTATTTGCTCCTCTGGCAGTCCCTGGTACTTTTCAGCATTCTTCACCAACACTGCAACTCAAAAGCATCAACTCTTTGGTCTTCCTTATTCATTGTCCAGCTTTCACATGCATATGAGGCGATCAAAAATACTGTGATTTTGGGTTAGGCACACTTTAGTCTTCAAAGAGACATCTTTGCTCTTCAGCACTTTAAGGAGCTCTTTTGTAGCAGGCCTGCCCAGCACAATATGTCGTCTGATTTCTTGACTGCTGCTTCCGTTGCTGTTGATTATGGAACCAAGTAATAGGAAATCTTTGACAACTTCAGTCTTTTCTCCATTTATCAAGTTGCTTCTTATTAGTCCAGTTGTGAACATTTTTGTTTTCTTTATATTGACATGTAATCTATACTGCAGACTGTAGTCTAGTCTTTAATCATCGTAAGTGCTTCAAGTCATCCTCACTTTCACCACACAAAGTTTTGTCATCTGCATATTGCAGGTTGTTAATGAGTCTTCCTCCAATCCTGATGCTGCGTTCTTCTTCATATAGTCCAGCTTCTCAGATTATTTATTCAGCATACAGATTGAATAAGTATGGTGAAAGGATACAACCCTGAGGTACTTTCTTCCTGATTCTAAACCATGCTGTATCCCCTTGTTCTGTTCGAACGACAACCTCCTGTTTTTTGTACAGGTTCCTCATGAGCACAATTAGTATTCTGGAATTCCCATTCTTAATGTTATGCATAATTTCTTAAGATCCACACAATCGAAGGCTTTTGCATAGTCAATGAAACACATATCTTTCAGATATTCTTTGCTTTCAGCCAAGTGCCATCTGACATCAGCTATGATATCCCTTGTTCTGCGTCCTCTTTTGAAGCCAGCTTACATTTCTGGAAGTTCTCTCATTATACTGCTGCAGGTGTTTTGAATTATCTTCAGCAAGATTTTACTTGGCTGTGATATTAATGATATCATTTGATAATTTCTACCTTCTGTGGAATCACCTTTCTTTGGAATGGTACAAATCTGGATCTCTTCCAGTCACTTGGCCAGGTAGCTGTTTTCCACATTTCTTGGCATAGCCAAGTGAGTGCCTCCAGCATGGCATCTGTTTGTTGAAACATCTCAGTGGGTATTCCATCAGTTCCTGGAGCTTTGTTCTTCACCAGTTCCTTCAGCGCAGCTTCAACTTCTTCCTTCAGTACCATTGGTTCTTGGTCACATACCACCTCCTGAAATGGGTGAACATCGACCAGTTCTTTTTGGTACAATGACTGTGTATTCCTTCCATCTTCTTTGGTGTTTCCTGTATCATTCAGCATTTTGCCCATAGAATCTTCAATATTGCAACTTAAGGCTTGAAACTTTTCTTCAGTTATTTCAGTTTCAGAAACGCCTAGCATGTTCTTCCCTTCTGGTTTTCTAACTCCATCTTTGTGCATTTCATCATAATGATTGACTTTATCTTCTCAAACTGCTCTTTGAAATCTTCTGTTGAGCTCTTTAATCTTGTCATTTCTTCCATTTGCTTTAGCTACTCTCCATTCAAGGGCAAATTGCAGAGTCTTTTCTGACATCCATGTTGGTCTTTTCTTCCTTTCTGTCTTTTTGATGACCTTTTGCTTTCTTCATGGATGATGTTCTTGCTGTCATCCCACAGTTCTTCTGGTTTTTGGTCATTGGTGTTCAGTGTATCAAATCTGTTCTTTTAGATGGTCTCTAAATTCAGGAGGGATATATTCAAGGTCATATTTTGGCTCTCATGGACTTCTTTTAATTTTCTTCAGCTTCAAGTTGAATTTGCATATGAGCAGTTGATGGTCTATCCCACAGTCAGCTCCTGGCCTTGTTTTGGCTGAAGATACTGGGCTTCTCTGTTGCCTCTTTCCACAGATACAGTCAGTCTGATTCCTGTGTCCTCCATCTGGCAAAGTCCATGTGTATAGCTGCTGTTTATATTGTTGAATAATAGTAGTGTTAGCTGCTCTTCCTTGTAAGCGTATGGACATCATAATATCACTGACAGCATTGTACTTGAGGATAAATCTTGAGACAATCTTAGATGAGACGATGAATGCCACGCCATTCTTCTTCAATTTGTCATTCTCGGCATAGTAGATCATGTGGTTGTCTGGTTCATGTTGGTGAAAAACAGTCCATTTTAGCTTACTAACACCTAGAATATTGATCGTTATGCATTCCATGTCATTTTTGACCACTTCCAATTTTCTTAGATTCATACTTCATACAGTCTATGTTCTGATTATTAATGGATGTTTGCAGCTGTTTTTTCTCATTTTGAGTCATGCCACATCAGCAAACAGAAGTCTTGAAAGCTTTACTCCATCCACATCATCATGGTCAACTCTACTATGAGAAGGCAGCTCTTCCCCAGTCATATTTTGAGTGCCTTCTGACGTGAAGGGCCCATCTTCTGGCACTACATTAGACAGTGTTTCACTGCTATTCATAAGGTTTTCACTGGCCAGTTCTTTGAGAAGTGGATGGCCCCTTCCTTCTTCTTAGTCTGCCTTAGTCTGGAAGCTGTGCTGAAACCTGTCCACCATGGGCAACCCTGCTGGTATTTGAAATACTGGTGGCATAGCCTCCAGCTTCACAGCAACAGGCATGCCACCACAGTACGACAAACTGACGAGGGGTGGGACCCACTGATTTAGAGGACTTAATTCAGATTTGATTTGATTTAGAGACTTGCATGGTTTTCTGTTTTCTGTTCAGTTACCATATTACTATGAACGAAGCTGCTTTTCAACATAGAAAATGAAATCTGAGTTAGCAGTTCACTGCACATTTTTTTCAGCCTTTTTTCACTATCAGCCCCCTAGAGAGCCTTTTTAAGGAGCTCTGGTGGTTTAGTGCCTAAGGCATTTGACTGCTAACCAATAGGTTAGCAGTTCAAACCAACCAGCCACTCTGTGGAAGGAAGACTGGGCAATCTACTTCTGTAAAAATTTACTGCCTCAGAAACCCAAAGGGGGTTGCTATGGGTCGGAATGGACTTGATGACGGTGAGTTTGGTTTGTTTTTGGTTTAAAGAGCCTTTTTAGAAATTTTAATACCATGGATAGATTGTATGTCTGTTTATGTAGAATAGGCATATCTGTACTTGACAAATAAAAAGAGTAAGATTTCCCAAGAACTGGTTTTTGCCAGTATATTGCCCCACTTGAGAATATAAGACTTCTGAAGTTAAATTGATTAAAGCTAAAGATTGTCCTTTTCATCAGTGTATCACAGGCATAATTACCAAACTGGCTTTAGTAATTGAAATAAATTTGCTACGGTTTCAGTATTGATCTTTTCCCATTTGGGCATGAATGGTATCATCTATTCTGAATCGTCTCTTTGCAGGTCCTAGAAGATGTGACAGGTGAAGAATTTGTTCTGTTCATGAAGATACTATCTGGGTTAAAAAGCTTACAGACAGTGAGTGGAAGACAGCAACTTGTAGAGTTGGTGGCTGAGCAGGCTGACCTGGAACAGACCTTCAATCCCTCGGATCCAGACTGCGTGGATAGGCTTCTACAGTGCACTCGGCAGGCAGTGCCGCTCTTCTCTGTAAGCTGTTTGTTTTATGTAGCTAGGATTTTGATTATTGTGTTCCCTAACACAGGAGCTCTGGTGGCATGGTGCCCAAGGCATTTGACTGCTAACCAAAAGTCTGGCAGTTCAAACCCACCAGCCACTCCTCGGAAGGAAGGTTAGGCAACCTACTTCCATAGTGATACCGCCTCAGAAAGCCAAGGAGGAGTCACTATGAGTTGGATCTGACTCATATGGCAGTGTGTTTCGTTGTTTGTCATTCCTTAACACAATAGAGTGAATATTTGCTTTTAAGGAACTAGGGTACGGGATGTGTGAGCCCAAAGCAACAAGAAATTTCTTTAATGTTTCCCTTAAAGACTTTAAAAATACAGAAATTATGCATTTTATTTTCTATCAGAGCTTATCTAAGATAACTTCAGTCATTTAACTTTTATCCTTAAATTTGCTGTAGGAAAATGTGCTTCTCGTCTTTGGGTTTTTGTTTCCCCTGGCCATGAATCCTCTGGGATGTGCGTACATCTGTGTGAAAAATACAGTTTGAAGGACCTATCCTTTGAATTAAGAAAAAAATGCATTCTAAAAATGCAGCACTAAAATGTCCCCCACAGTTTTTTATGAGAATCAAGGAAGAGTCCAGATATATTTAGTTAAATGACATTCTGCTGTTCGAGAGTTTTGTTTTTCTTGACAACTCAGTGTTGTTTTTTGTTTTTGTTTTGTTTTGTTTTTTCAGAAAAATGTTCATTCCACAAGGTTTGTGACTTATTTCTGTGAGCAGGTTCTTCCTAACCTCAGTTCCTTGACTACCCCAGTGGAAGGTCTTGATATACAGTTGGAGGTAAGAGAAAACTTCTGATTTTAGCACTGAGAAGATGTTATTATATTTTAATACAAATTTAAACCACTAATTTAAGTCTGATTTCTAAGGGAGTAATTTAATTATCCGGTGATGGGTAGCTAATAATCTGTTAGCCCAGGACTATTGTACAGGAATGCTCTATGGATTCAATCAAAGTTTACTACAGTGGGAAAACATGGCCTGTTGCATTCCTTGTAGTCAGTGGCTACGTTTGTCCCCTTAATGTTTTTAAATAAAGGATTTAATTTGTGGATAGTTTTCATCTCTCTCTGTAACTGGTAGAGCCAGATTTAAACTGGATTAACACAAAATATATTTTAACCCTTCTTCCCAGTGGAATTAATAACTACTCTCTCTCATTCGTATTTTAACTGTAACATGTATATACATATCTAACAGCATTTATAATACTTTCTTTGTAATACTTACCCTTATTTCAGTGATTTATTTCTCAATCCTTAATCTAGTGCAGCTTCTGATCCTGAAAGGCATTTAATAATGATTGTTGAACTGGAAGGAAATACGGACGTAAAGGAAATATGCCATTTCCTTCATATGTCTTGGAGACATAAAAGAGTCTCAGTGTACACTGGCACTGTATTTTGCTTCAAATGTCCTGGCCCAGGCTCATCAGACTGAGAAAGGGTAAAGCAGAGATAAACCTTGAGAATAATGGCAATTAATCCATACTTTGAATTAGTATTCAGAGACTAAATTTAGTAGCAAATGAAGTCTACCCTAATTCTTCGCTCTCGAGAGTACATTTTGAGTGTCTCTCTGATAGTACAAACTGTCACAACTACTCTGTGTTTTTATCGTTTTAGCATTATATTTAGTACTGTACATTTTAATCTTTAGCTGAAAGTATCATGTATTCTTTTCCTTACTTCTTAACAGATATACTGGGGATCATGAGATACGGTTTTAGGGTCTGCCCTGCCACTCTCATACATTGTGACTTTGCTCAGTCACATAATCTTGACCTTCAGTTTTCCTCAACTGTAAAATACAGACTTGTATCTCTGAATTTTTTTCCCATTTCAAACATTATGATTTTATAAAAAACATAATTGAAGATAAGTCTTAAAGAATTATCTAGAATCATTCTAATTTTACAGCTCTGGTCATTTAAAACATGGTAGTAATAACCAATGAATTGTGTTTTAGGTATTAAAATTGTTGGCAGAGATGAGTTCATTTTGTGGTGATATGGAAAAGCTAGAAACAAACTTAAGGAAACTATTTGATAAGTTATTGGTAAGATCTTTTTATTTTTTCTTGTATTGTGAGGTATATATTCCAAAAGTCTAATAATTTAAGACTAATGTCCAGCTTATAGAGAACAAGCTTTTGAAATCTAGATTAAACAGTAATTCTAACAGATGTTATTAGCTGCTTAGGCCATATGCTGCCTGCGTAGTAAAAGGTTTTTAGGAGTTTATTTTGTTTTCTTTTTTAAAATATCTGTTTTAATCTTTGGCTTTGGTGTTTCTTCTGGGTTGATGCTTTGCATTCAATGTAACATAGGATTTATAGTAAATCCTTGTTATTTTCTTACCAGATATTTTTATATCTATATAAAAAAAATGAGCCCAAATTCTTTGAGTTGTGCTGAATAGTCTCAAAACTGAAGTTAGCATTGTGAGAGTTCTTTACGTTTGCTTTAGGTCTCCTATCCAGGTAGCTTCCAAGGCCAAGTAGCTATAGCTGTCAGGTAATAAACTCTGTCATTCAAGTCGTAACTAAGAGGAAGAGGCCATCTCGTAAGATATTTATCAGCATCACTAGTGACTGTCTAGTTTGATGTAAACAGTTGTAGAAACAACCAAGACTGTATGTTGTAGTAAGCATTAGGCCTTTAGCCTGAGTTAATTGATCCAAATCTATGGTCCTTTCAGACCTTTAATACTTACTGGATGAAATAACACTGATAATGGATGCCTTTGGCAGTACTTTGAATGCAAGTAGAGTCAATAATAAAACAATATGGACTAATGTTGAGAAGAGATTTTTGGAGTTAGCGGCATAGTGGTTCAGAGAATCAACTTTTGATATCAAACCTAAATTGAGTGCTGCCTCTCCAACTTACTAACTTGTCGCTATTGAGAAGTTACCTAAGCTTCCTGAACCTCAATTCTCTTCTCTGTATGTATAAGTACAAATTAATATTAACTACTTTCATTGTCAATAGTAGTACCAACTGCAGTATAGGTGAAAGTGGAGAGTTAGCAGGCTAAAACATTGTTGTAATAGGTGAAAGAGAAACCTTATTTAAGCTTTTGATTTTGGTAAATTTTAAAGCTTCATGTCTAAAGGGTATGCCCTACGGATACTTGAGTATATGTTTACAATCAGTAGTATATAGAAAATTGCAAACGTCTCTTAATTTTTCATACCTTAGGAATACATGCCTCTCCCTCCAGAAGAAGCAGAAAATGGGGAGAATGCTGGAAATGAAGAACCTAAGCTGCAGTTCAGCTATGTGGAATGTTTGTTGTATAGCTTTCACCAGTTGGGCCGAAAACTACCAGATTTCTTAACAGCCAAACTGAATGCAGAAAAGCTCAAAGATTTCAAAATCAGGTGATATATGGTTGAATTATTCTAATTTTTGGCAAAGGTGGTAGCTATCTTGAAGCTCCTTGGGTTTTGTGTCTGTGTTTTTTATAAGAGCTTTCTTCTACCCTACCTTAACTCCAAAAGGGAGCTGAAAAACATTATCAGACCTTACCAATGGCTAAACTTCCAGGAGCTGCTGCAGGACTAAGGAACCCATTCAGCCCAGTTGTTTGGAGTTGAATAAGCCTGCTTGATAGCTACCTCATGGATGAAACTTCCATTAAAACACTAAAATTATAATAGGTGGCTTCTAAGTCAGTGTACGGTGGTGAAGAAACACAAAATTAAGTTCCAGAGTAAACAGATTGTTAAGAACAAAAAACAAAATGGTAGACTAAATCCTTAAATATAAATAATCATAATATTAACAAATTTTAATCTAGTGATTAAAAGAACATTGTTATAATATATAGTGTTCAGACGGCTCCCTTGTTACCCTCCCGAGAGGGACCGGGTCTCCGGGAGCAAGGTAAGCACGGGCGGGCTGGTGCTTACTCACTGATCTGCACTGAACACTTT